AAAACAACTTTTGTATGTAAAGCTTGAAAACTTTACGTCTTATCTGCATTTTTCTGCATATTTTGGGATCTGACTTATTTTCAATAGAAATTTCTCTGCATAATTTCAACATTGTTCCTTGATTAGATTTTTGTCTTACAAATAAAGGGAGAGATTTTGAGCTATTCCAGTGGAAAACAAGCACAAGAATCAATCAACCATGTACGTTTATGTAAAAAAAAAAAAAAAAAGACAGCTGAATGATGGTGATGGTGAATGACGTTAAAGACCATCTTTTATTCAGAAGTAATTTTGAGCTCAAATTTAACTGTGTATTGAGTCTTACTGACTCTTGACTCATCTATGTTATAAGAATGGTTTATTAATCTTGTGTCTACTTCTTACTAGTTTTTATTGATTTTAGCTGATTCAATTATTGCTTTTATCGCTCGCATAAAGACAAACCTGTAAATAAAAGACACTTTTAGTAGACAAATAAGTCATTGTGGAAGTTGGACCAGTTTAGGTAAACAATGGCTGAATACATTCACCATGAGTAAAGAAAAAAATCTATTCTCTCTGTCATAGCTGTGTGATCAAAGGAACTTGTTCTGTGCACGAGGTCCAAGCAGAACTTTTTCTTACAGGAACATGCATGTGGTATTGTAGAATTAGACAAAGCTTTGTTCTGGGCGTGTTCATGCAAAAAGTCAAGGGAACTAGTGTCGTTTCACTTCAACTGCAGTGACAAAAGATTTTACCATCAACTGTGTGGGGTGACACTGAGGAACATCTTTTAAAAGTTGAAAATAAAGATTGATGTCTTGCACTGCTTCTATTAATATATTGATGATCCTGTCAAAATATTACAAATCATTTTTTTTCTTTTCCTTCACATTGATACATTAGCCCAGATAATTGATGAAAATCCTGAAAGCCTTTAATTGTAAGCCATCTGCTCAGCTGCTTCATTTATAAGAACTCCCAGGGGAATGGTCGTGATAGGTTGAAATTACTGATTTGAGAACTCTGAAACTGAAGAAGTTGTTGTTGTTGTTTTTTTACAAAACTTTATTTACACAATAATTTAACATAACAATGTTAAAAACACGATCAGGACACGCTTTAAATAAAGTATTTACATGAGCAGGTTGTTGTATTGTAGTTCTCCCTGATCAGAAATGGTGCATCAAACCTTCTTAAATCCCCACAGTTTCACAAAGAAGAATTTTGTTCTCTTGGAAAAAACACTTCCACGGACTGTCATCTGTATCTGTGTTGTTTCTTATTAAAAAAAGATGAACATTATTTTATACAATAGTGTTAATACTACATATATTTCAATAAACAATTATTATTTTTTATTCATTAACCTTTATTTAACCAGGCAAATCCCATTGAACTTACCAATCTCTTTTGCAAGGGAGGCCTGTGCCTGAAGGCAGCCTAACATGCATGTTTTTGGTACAATAGTGTTAAAACTGCATATATTTCAATAAACAAAACAACATAAAAGCTGTGATTGATTGTCTGTATAACTTGGTGTCGTTTAAAACAACTACAAACAATAAAACATCTTGTTTTATTATTACATTTTGAGCAAATAACAGCTGTGATTAAATATCAAGACTATTTTTTATTACATAAGGCTTGCGTGATAATCAGATGTCTTAGTGGTCTCACACCTCAGTGCAAAGCAGAGGTGGGAAATGTTGTTTTCTAAAGGGCCACATCAAGACGTTTAATGCAATCAAAGGGCCGCAAGGAGAATTGTTAAATAAATGTTCTTTATGACCGATAATCTAGAAGACTTTTTCTTATTGTAGCAGTTAGCTTTAAAAAAAAAACAAGTCTTTCCAAAATCCTGTAGGAATATAAGACATATTCTGTAAACTGGCTCTTGTGACAATATTACACATATTAGCTTAACATGTTACTGTATACATGCTAGTGGAACTATGCAAAACAAACTCATATATTTGTGTTTTTATGTCTTTAAGATTCAGAAAAATGATTTTTAAAAAGTTTTGCTTAAGAGGTTTAATTAAAATTTCCTTCGGTCTCATTGATAAATTGCTGCTTTTTATAATCAATCTTTATTTAAAAATTGTTTTTCTTTTTTAAACTAAGGACAATGGAGGGCCTGATGGAAATTGTCCACTGTCTACTTTTGTTACAGTTTCTATGATGGGGGCAGAGCAGCTTCTGTAGTTGCAAAAGAAGTGTCAATATTAACATAAGCTATGAGGAATCAATTCATTTTCAGTTAATTAAAACACTTTGGTTTTACATTTAGGTTCATAGTTTCTACATTTGAAGGTTTGCTTAAAAATAATGTAATGTTGAAGATGTCTATTTAAAAATAGACAGTTAAGCAGCGCCTGATTTATGGCATGGAAACTTTTTAATTGACATTACAAACACAAAGTCCCTAATCTTAAACTCAAGAGAACAAAACGTCCATGTGAGTGGCGTCCTTTAATTATGTAATTGTTGTAAATAATTAATTATGATACGCTTTGGATCTAAAAAATTACATTTTACAGTTTTACTTATATTAATTTATACATGGGCAAATAATTTGTTTATGCACAAGTTATGATACGATGCAGTCGGATACAACTGAGTGCACTTTATGAAATTTTGTGGAAAATTCAGTTTGCCTTTAGTGTTGTGCCCTTAAAATAAACATAAGCAGTGTTTGAATCATGAATCCACAAAAGCTACACGCAGGACAGTTGGTACATTTAAATCTCCGTGGCTGGTGGGGTCCTGGGCCCTAATTTTAATATACAACC